AAATCTAATTCAATGATTCCTCACTGTCGATTTTTATTATTTCTGGTTTTTTGTCACATTATAAGCAATACATTATTTTTGTTCTACTTCTAGTGTTGCATATTGTTCATTTATTTCCGTTGCATGTTTTCATTTGCCGTTCTATTCCCTGCCGCAGTTCGATCGAACTGCGCGTTGCCGATTTTCGCGAATTTTCGTTTTTTTTGCCGGGGATCTCCTGGCAAACGCCCACCCCTTCTTTTTGGCAATTTTCCATGTTCAAGACCCTGGGCTTATACCCGGATAAATACAGTAAACAAGAGTTGAATATTCCGTGACTGAACATAGAAATGTTTGCGAAGCTTAGGTTTAGCATCTGGGTAAGGTATGGTACAATTATATTAATATTAATATAACGTGAACCATACTTTCCCCCCGATACTAAACCTAAGCTACGCAAAACGTATTAATAATCGAATTAAGTATTAATATAAATTATGTTTTCCGAGGACTATGAAAAAGGTCCTCGGAAGGTGTGTATGTCCTCGGAAGTTGCTATATATCTGTATTTTTGTCCTCGCAACATATAGCAATCCAAGTACACAGACACACTAACTGCAAAGACTCCCATTATGTGCTTCACACATGGGAGTCAAAAACTGAAAACTGCGATCGGTTTGTAGTAAACCCTGTTGAACACAGTGGATATTCTGACTCACCATACAACTTGTTAGAAGAGATAGGAATTTTTCTCTTTGAGCTCTCTCTGGTTTATCATCAATAGCTGATGTCTTGATGTCTGTGGAGAACAAGCACATAACAGTAATGCAGAGTGATAGAAACAACAAACTATGTAGTTGAATAATACTTTTGATTTCAGTGAATCTTATGATGCATATATATTCATGCTTACCAATAACATTTAAGACGTCAGCAATCACCGATGAGACATCAGACCTTAGACCCTGAATAAGTCAAAAATATGAATCAGTAATTTTAACATCAAATCTCTCTCAGGGCACTGAATTACTGTAGACACTCTACATACACAGGATTGAACAAAGATTTTCAGCTGATTCTGAATTCAGTCTACATAACATGATGTATTCAGCTGAGAATATCACAGGATAACATAACATGATGTATTCAGCTGAGAATATAACAGGAAAACATAACATGATGTATTCAGCTGAGAATATAACAGGAAAACATAACATGATGTATTCAGCTGAGAATATCACAGGAAAACATAACATGATGTATTCAGCTGAGAATATCACAGGAAAATATAACATGATGTATTTTGCTGAGAATATCACAGGAAAACATAACATGATGTATTCAGCTGAGAATATCACAGGAAAACACCATGATGTATTCTGCTGAGAATATCACAGGAAAACATAACATGATGTATTCAGCTCAGATTATCACAGGAAAACATAAGATGATGTATTCAGCTGAGAATATCACAGGAAAACAACATGATGTATTCTGCTGAGAATATTGCAGGAAAACATAACATGATGTATTCAGCTGAGATTATCACAGGAAAACATAACATAATGTATTCAGCTGAGAATATCACAGGAAAACATGACATGATGTATTTAGCCGAGATTATCACAGGAAAACATAACATGATGTATTCAGCTGAGAATATCACAGGAAAACC